TCAGCAGTGGACAAATCGCCTAGTGATGTTACGATCAGTGCGGGCAACCGAAGGGATCCTGAGAAGCTATTGTCGCCATCTCAGCTGAAGGGTTATGGTGATTTGAAGAGTTTGGAAGCTGGGGATGCGGTGGGGAAGCGGTCTCTGGAGCAATCCTTTTCGTTCTCGGAGGGGATGTTAGCAAGTTTTGGGAGTGGTGGAATTTCAGCACAAAGGCAGCCTGTTTTGTCTAGAGTTCTTTCTGAAAAGTCCATTTCGGCAAAGTCAAAGGCCACCGCTGGAGCAAAATCTGGAGCGCACAAGGCAAGCCCTTTCTTTAGATTTTTATTTTATTTTATTGTTTTTCTTTGTTTTTCATTGTTGTTGGAAGAACGGTAGATAGTAATGCCATGAACGAAAGGATTCTTAATAGTATTTGAGGTTTGGAAGGCATGAGAATATAGGGCAATGTTGCAATAAGCAACATTAGCTTGAGGTTAATGAAATTTTACTGTTCTTGGAAGTAAAATGCATGCATTATTTCAGTTTCTAAAATGTAGGATAATCTTTTTTGTTTTGGAATAGCGAAGGATTGATGCTGGGTGTGGTGGATTTTGATTCAAAACTTTTTCTTTTTCTATGCACTAAGAAAAAAAATGAATTTTTATTTGAAATATATACATCTTTTTCTCCATGGAAATTAAATCATGGGAACATTAAATCAATCCATCGTTTCTGTTTTAATTCCAGTAGGTATTCAGAAACCCAGGAACTTTTATCTTCAGTTACTAATTGATTTTTTTATTGTTTACTTGCTTATTAGCAAGGTAAAGCCAAAATCTTCTAACTTTATCAAGTTAAATAACAGAAAACTGTACTTAGGAGTTAGGATTTTCTACTTTCTTAATGCCCATATGTTGCTGACTGGTTGAGATACTTGTATGTGGCAGTCCTAATAAAGTCCTCTCCGGTATTGATTGAAAAAAAGTGCTTTTAAAATAAATAGTGTATAGCTTAACTTGAATGAAAGAAGAAGAGATGGAATTCCATTGCTTGTCGTTGTAATTCCTTGAATAAAGTAAAAGAATAACCACTTGTGATTAATACTGGAAGTAATGCAAAGTTTGCTGCTTTAAGGTTCCTAAAATTTCTTCATCAGCATTACTTTGCTTTGATTGCTATTCTTCTGCTCATATTAGCTTCTGATAGATGTGCTTCATATTTACTTCTTTATTCACATTGAGAGAATCATAAATATATAGTGAGCTGCTCTAAGTACTTATAATTTTAGTTCATTTTCCTGTGAATGTGTCAGTGGCATCTGGAAAGCTCAGATTCTTAAATTGAATCATGTCACTTTATAGTGGACATCTATTGTGGTATTCATTCTTACTTAATTTCGTGTTTATTCAGGTTTCGGAAGTAAGTTCATTTATAGGAAGAGCCGGGTCTGCTGGTTTTGGGATGGCAGTGGAGGTTTTAGACACACTAGGCAGTAGCATGACTAGTTTGAATATCGGCAGCGGGTTTTCATCGGTCGTGGCAACAAAAGGAAATAAAATATCCATCCTAGCTTTTGAGGTTGCTAACACAATCGTAAAAGGTGCCAATCTTATGCATTCACTTTCAGAAGAAAACATAAAGCATTTGAAGGAAGTGGTGCTTCCTTCGGAAGCTGTTCAGCGAATAGTGTCTACAGACTGGAATGAGTTGCTAAGAATTGCTGCTGCTGATAAAAGGTTCATTTGCAATAAAAATTATACATGTTTTGATTTTGATTGAATTGACTTTCTTTATTTACAATAAAATTTCACAATTTTTACTTATTGATTCAATAATATGGATTTCCTTTTATTTCTGCTTAAGCTTGCTATTCTTTCAAAATTTCAGGGAGGAGTTGAAAGTATTTTCTAGGGAGGTTGTTCGATTTGGCAACCGCTGTAAAGATCCCCAATGGCACAACTTGGATCGCTACTTCGCTAAGTATGCATTTATACACTTGTTTGATAGAGGTCCTTTGGTTTGTGCTTTACAACTTAGTAGATATTTTCCTATTTTGTTGAATCTAGATTAGGTTCGGAAATCACACCACGGCAGCAACTGAAGGAGCAAGCAGCAGGTGTCATGCAGCAGCTATTGACATTAGTCCAATATACTGCTGTGAGTGCTTTTTTCTTGTTGCTTTTACATAGTTCAAAGTTTGTCCTGAAAACTATACATGCTGTTTTTATTTATACATTTTATTCATGAAACCACAATGTAATCCTGTAGTGCTCTGGAGATATTCAGATAAGCTGGTTTTAGAGGATATTATAAAGGATGTCTGAATCTATTGAGAATATGTATTGGAATAAAGCTTTTGATGAAAATATGTCTTTTAATATTGAACAAATCATTGAATATCAATTTATTGTCAATTATTCACCATGTTTTTTAAGGTCAGAGCTTGAGTTTGACTTATTTCTGGGCTTCCACTCCTTGACTAAGCTTTTCATTCAGTCATTTCTACTGCACCAACCAACATCCCTCAACTAATCACCCACGGTATACCAAACACCCTCATCACCATGTTTTCTGAGTGGCTGAAATGTTTTTGCATCATTGTTCAAGATTGGTACAGAATGTGTTTTTCTAGACTCTTTATGTATAGTATAAATGGTTCTTCCGAAGTGCGGCATTAGGAAGGCTTAGTACTAGGCATTCACTTTATGAGTAGGGATAAATTAGTTTGCATTTTTATTGCTGCAATTTTTACTTTTTTGTAATCTAATTGACTTGATTGTATGAATTCAATAGAGCCATATGAGGCTAGATGTCAATGGGTTTGACTTTATTTGCATTTGATTTCCAAATTAGTCTTCTGTGCAAGTATCATTGGAATTTCTTTGATAATTCAAAATTTTTATTCATTGACTCACTAGATTAGATTTTGTGGCTAACTCACAATGGATTTTTGTATTCTTTGAATTCTATAGGAGCTTTATCATGAGTTGCATGCTTTTGATAGATTTGACCAAGATTATCGAAGAAAACTCCATGAAGAAGAAAATTCAGGTGAAATTAAGATGTGTTGGCCTTTTTTTATTTATTACATTAAGAGTAGTTGTGCAATCATGTGCATTTGTCATATAATCTTATTCTTTTAGTGTTTTGCTTCATCATGATTAATGGTTTAAGAGTATTATATATTAATCTTATGTTAATATTGGAAAGGGCAACTAAATTCATTTTCTCTAGTCAGGCTTTCTAAATGCTCAAAGATTGGACTTTTTTTTGTTCGAATTAAATCAATGAGTCCACTAACAAACACACCCTGGTTTGAATGAAATGGATTGAGCTAAATTTGAATCAAATTGAGCCATCTCAAGATATGGTTATGTATATGCTTTTTAATCATATTAATCTCTGTTTCAAAAGACATTTTTGGGGCCCGCCTAGGACACCTCCTGGGGTGAGGCGCGACCTAGTTCACCCCAAGGCTAATGCACCAGAACGTCTTGTGCGCCCCGAGAGCTCAGTTTGCGCTCCACATGGGCGTACCCCCCACTATTTGGTTAAAAAAAAGGAAAAAAATATCCTAATTTTCCAGACATACCCGAATCAAGCTGATTCACGCATCTTTCCCGCAACAGGAGGTGATCCTGCATTCGTCTGTTTCATCTCTCGCATAATTGCATGCTAGCGATCCGACAACCTTCTACCTTTCGGCTTACGCCTGACGCTTTGGGTCTTCTGTCTCGCCTAGTAACAGCCAAAACTCCCCTCCCAACACCCACTCCTTTTAAAACATTGGTATTTATATATGTCTGCAGTAATGCAACTTGATTTATGTGCAATCAAAATTGAATCAATTTTTAACCTATATTGGTCTCAAATTAAAATAGATGAGCCAACTTTGTTATCCTGGCATCATATCCCCTATACTATCATTAGCCTTGTGCAAATTACTTAGGATTGAATTATAGATTTAAATGGTGAGGCCTATCTTTACTTGAATTGCATACTATTGGCCCTCAAAATTTTTGACCAAGTGCCGCGTTTCCATTTCCATACAGGAGAAGGTTTTCAAATTCTAAGGCATGAGCTCAAAAGCCAAGGGAAGCATGTAAAAAGCTTAAAGAAGAAATCATTGTGGTGGAGAAACTTGGAAGAGGTTTGTCATTGGCATTATTCTATTTCATGTGACCTGTTTGTCATCCCTTACCTATCAATAATATGCTCCTCTCTCTCTCTCACACACACACATCTATGTTCTGAGAAAATATGTTCTTCCGCCTTGCAGGTCATGGAAAAGCTAGTAGACATTGTGCACTTTATGCATTTTGAGATTCATGAAGCCTTTGGAAATGCTGGTATTTACAAACTCCACCCCAAAAAGTTGCATTGAAAAGAAAATGTTTTATTCTTTTTGCTAGCTTTCAAATCAGTTAATGTTTGTTAAAATTTCCTTAATTATAATGACTGCTAATCATTGGCGTTCGATGTTTTGCCGCAATGCATATGTGCTTTTCATGACCTTGCTATTTGTTGCCTCTAGCATCTAGGAACTTATTCTGCTTTCTTTCTAAGACAATATTTATCTTCATTGGTATTACTTCATGAAGATATTACTTCTTTTAAGATTCTCTTTTGATTTTTATGTTTTTGTGAACTTTTAGAAGGAGATGACCCTTCGGTGCATTCCTTCAAAAGTCAACAAAGGTTGGGCCCAGCTGGCCTTGCATTGCATTATGCAAATATTATCAATCAAATTGACACACTAGTAAGTTTTCCATTATTGTAAAAGAGAAATTTTGTTTGTTTTTATTTTCCAAATTTTCTCAGTTTTCCTACCCAACCATCACACCCTACTTTTGATTGGTGGTTGCATTTTGAGATATTGACAGTCCACACCACTTGGATTTAAAGCCTGTTGCTTGTGAATTTTTCAACAAAATAATTTTTTTAGTTTGTAAAATGATTTTAGCTGTAAAATTAAGCAAAGTTGATATTGTTATTCTTCAGCATATGAATTACTTATCTCTGGCATTAAGTAAACTGTTACTGTTTAGGTGTCGCGATCAGGATCTGTGCCCCCAAACACCCGGGATTCACTATACCAAAACTTGCCACCTTCAATAAAATCCGCTTTGCGCTCGAAACTGCTGGTGTTTGAGCTCGATGAACAGGTACATGAGAATTTTATTTTTGTCTTGTTTTAAAGAAAATCTGATCCTTAAAAGAGATATTAAAAGTAAAGGTTATAAAAATTTCTCATTACATGTGTTCGTTCATACCGCTTCATCGCAGCTGACCATTCCTCAAATCAAGGCTGAAATGGAGAAAACATTGCAATGGCTTGTCCCAATTGCTAATAACACCACAAAGTAAGGCAATTTACTCTTATCCCCCCTCCCCTTAATTTTCATCTCAAAAGCCTCATTTCCTCCTCTGGACTGAAAACAAATTATGCATGGATTGCATGTCAAGCTCTTCCTACTTAGATCAGTTGCTCGGGCATCTGCTTGTCGGTTGTAAGTCCTCTCTGATCTGGGGTTCGATTCCCCCTGGTGGAGGGTGTGGTACTCGAATTGTTAGGCGTGTCGGGGATGGCCAAGGCTCGTATAATAGCCTCAAGCCATTCCTTTTTTTTTAAAAAAAGAGCTCTTACTCTTTCCATACATAATTGTGTTATCAGCTCTATATTTTTATTACACTCATCTTAAAAGAAGTAATATCTTCATTCTAATGAATTCTGTTAAAGTTAGTACTTATTTGGTTGCTCTTGTCTTTTAATTTTTTCAACAATAAAAAGAATCTTAAAACATTCAAAATATTTAATTTTCTGACCCATTTCTTATTGCAATGACATCATAGAGCGCACCATGGTTTTGGTTGGGTTGGAGAATGGGCAAGCACAGGGTCAGTTTCTCCATTCAAACTTCATTCTTACTATCCTTTTATTCTTATTTACATAAACAAGGAATTGAATTCCTCACTATTTCTTTTAGTGCGGATGTAACTCATAAGCCAGCAGGCCACACCACCATGCTCAGAGTTGAGACATTCTACCATGCAGACAAAGACAGCACCGATGCCTACATACTCGACTTGATCGTGCGCCTCCACCATTTCATTAACCTTTCAAGACGAGGAAAGAACAAGTTCTGTTCTCGTTCGCCGATCAAAACTTCGATTCTCACTTCTCAGAATTCCGCTTCTCCTCCCCTTTCAACCAAATCAAATTCCGCCAATTCGTCCGCACCGACCCCATCGCTCATCACGCAAGAAGAGCAAGAGATCCTGAGACAAGTAGAGGTGCCTAGAAGATCTCCCAGAATAAGTAAAAGCCAAGATTTTGATCTTGGTAGGCCAAAGAGGCACAAGTTCAGCAGACTCTCCAGAAGCAGCTGCAACACACCAGTAAGGATGAGCAAGAATGAATCCAGAAAGATGTCATTGCCTGTTATTGATTTTGATATAAATCGTATTAAAGCATTGGATGTTATTGATAGGGTGGATAGCCTAAGGAAATTATGAAAAGAGTTGTTAGAAATCTCCTTTTTGTTTTATGTAGCTGTAGAGGTGCTGGTTATGGTTCATTTGTATGATAATTAGGATTATAGTTTCTTACATGTTGAAATTGCTGTCAGGAATGAGTTGTGAAATAGCGTTTTCTGGTGGTAGAATTTCTGTTAGTTTGGCTCTTGAAACATAAGGGAAAATGTACATTTGAAAATTGTTTTTTTTAATCTTTATCTGGATTGCTTATTGTATGTCTGTTCCATCGATATAACTAACAAAGATGGGGATGCACCAATTAAGGGTGAAGGATGCTGTTGACACTCACTACAATGTAATAGAGCAGAGCCTCATTCTACAAACGGAGAAAAATATTCTCTCCGGATTGCTAATCACTAATCGTAATGTCGGTTGCCAATGAGGACGTGGCGGCCGGACGTGCATCTGAACAAAATATTTTGTCTTATAACGGGGCTTAATTGTTGAGATGGGCAGTAACTAGGGGAAAATATAGGGGAATTAAAGGATTTCTAATGATCCCATGCATTAAATATCTTTTATGTTAGAAACAGTGGAGTCCGGTCCATTATGTTTGGACAGTTACTTTGCTTTGGAGAGTCACACTTCTTCATAAATAACCACTCTCCCCTTCCTTTTTTGAGAAGTGAAGCATCTCTTCGAATGACTCTTCTTAGGTTTAGATGTCATTTTTTGAGTTCTTCTTCGATTTCTTCGGGATAGAGTAAGTGTTAGATATGACTCATATATCATAAATGGACAGTGCTAAATCAGGAGCGGAGCAGAGCGAAAGGTTCTGTTCAAATCAGGAGAGTTTCTTTATGTGGGTTGGAGTTGTGGTATAAGAGTAATTTGGTAATTACATATTATATCCAAGGTTTCCTTTTTATGTGCTTTATAGGATTATAAATTAGGCTTGTATGTAACCCTATGGATTATCCCTAAATTTTGTATTCTGTTCTCTTTACCGAATTAGTGAAAAATCGCCGTTTTGGTCCCGAAGATATAGACATCTTTGCTAAATCTCGTTAAAACTCTTTGTGTTCTTCTGAATTTGTGTTGATTCCTGTTTTTCTTGGCCTTAATTTTTCACACAAGTAGTATCAGGGCGATTCTAGCGCAGGAAAATTTCTGAGTACGGCAGAGGAGTTGGACGGCTGGCGGCGCAGACTTCTTCGGCTGAACAGATCATGCGCGCAGAGGAGGTTTGCGGCAACAATTACGAACGAGAAGCTTCTGCGGGAGATCGGGAGAGGAGTTAGCTACCAGAGTCGAGAATCGCGGGATCGAAGGGTTGGCGGCTTGCAGCAGGAAGGCTTTCAGCTTCTCGGAAAATTGGAAGGGTTCCCTGATTGGTATTTCCTTAAATAATTTTCTCTTCCTGGGTTCCGATTTCAGGGAAGGAAGAAGGCTCCGATTGGTTTTTTTTTTCCTTTCTGGGTTCCGATTCAAGGAAGAAGGGTCGACGAAGGTTACGAATTTACGTTCCGAAAATATTGCAGGGGAATTGGAGGCGTAAAATCTTCGACTCCTTTCTTTTGCGGGATCGCAGTCAGAGGCGTAATTGCCGGAATAACATTCGATACAGAAGAATTTTTTATTTCTTTTGCAGGGGGGCGAAGAGGCAAACAAAAATTTTAGTTTTATTACTTTTATTTGTGGAGAAGGAAATTTGGAAGATTTGTCAAATTTTGCGGCGCTACGGAGCTATTATAAGAAACAAGAAATAAGGAAGTTTTTGTTGCATGATCAATTTTCAAATGACATTTTCTGGTGTGAAATTTTAGATGATGAAGTTCGATTGAACTTGTAACTTCGGATCGTGGCAAACAAGAGTAAAAGATCTGTTGGCGCAACTGAGAATCTTGAAGGCCCTGAAGACAACGAAACCAGATGCTATAGAGGATAAAAATTGGGAAGAATTATAACAATGAGCGGTTGCAACTATACGTTTATGTCTGACAAATGAGGTTATGTATCACATGATGAATCTGAAATCTCCAAGGGAGATATAAAAGAAATTAGAATACCAGTTTATGACCAAATATCTGACGAACAAGTTGTATCTGAAACAAAAGTTGTATGGGCTGAAGATGCAAGAATGTTCTGATCTAGCGTAACATGTTAATGACTTCAATCAAATAATCATTGATTTATCACGGCTTGATGTGAATATTGAGGATGAAGATCAAGCGATGATTTTGTTGTGTTCATTGTCTTATTCCTATGAACACCTGATGACTACTCTGACATATGGGAAAGAAACTATCAAATTTGATGAGATTACTGCAGCATTGTTGGCTTAATACCAGCATAAGCAGAATACATGGGAAAGCTTTCACGGCGACAGTTTATATGTTAAGGGTAAGCTGAATCGTGGAAGAAAGAAAAAGAAGGAAGGTTATGGAAGGCAAAATTTCAGATCAAAGTCTAAAGACAAAAAAACAATTAATTGCTACAAGTGTAAGGAGTAAGGAGCCAGGTCATATGAAGCAGGTCATATGAAGAGAGATTGTCCAAAACTCAAGAAGCAAACTGAGGAGAAATGTGATACATCATCGAAGTCTGTAAATGTGGTGCAGAGTGACAATTCAGATTGCAGTGATGGTGATATGCTTTCAGTTTCATCAACTCAGTTCACAAATGCATGAATTCTTGATTCATGGTGTTCTTATCACATAACACCTAACATAGAGTGATTTACTTCATACATGTTAACTAATTCTGGCTTAGTCTATTTGAGTGATGATAAATGCTGCAATATTATTGGTATTGGAGATGTCAGAATTCAGATGTATGATGACACAGTTAGAACGTTATGTGATGTCAGACATATTCCAGATATGAAGAAGAATTTGATTTTCTTGGGCACTCTACATAAAAATGGTTTCATTCATAAGGCTGATGAGGATAGGGAAACCATCAGAATTGTTAAGGGTGCACTCACAGTGATGAAAGAAAGTTAACTGCAGGCAATATCTACAAACTATTGGGGAGTACAGTTGTAGGTGGAGTTTATTCTGTGGAGTCTGATGATGACAATACAAAGCTATGACATATGCGACTGGGTCATCTTAGTGAACGTGGGATGACAAAATTGCATAGAAGAAATCTGTTGCATTGGGTTAAAAGCTGCAAGCTTGATCTTTTTAAGTTCTGTGTTCTTCGAAAACAAACTATAGTCAGTTTTATGACTGAAAAACATAAAATTGAAGGGATTCTTGATTATGTGCATTCTGATGTATGGAGCCCTACCAGGGAGTTGCCATTAGGAGGATCTCAGTATTTTGTTACATTTATTGATGATTTCTCTAGGAAAGTTTGAGTGTATTTCTTGAAGCAGAAATTCGAAGTCTTCTCTAAATTCAAGTTGTGGAAAGCTGAGGTGGAGAACCAAACTGACAGAAAGATCAAGTATTTGAGATCTGATAATAACACACATTTGCAGTTTCATAAGTTCTGTGAGGAGCATGAGATTCAGAGGTATTTTTCAGTGCGTAAGACACCACAACAGGATGGTGTGGCAGAAAGGATGAACATATCCTTAACTGAAAGGGCAATGTGCTTGAGACTGAATGCAGGGCTTCCTAAGAGTTTCTGGGCAGAGGCTGTGAATATGCCATGCTATCTCATCAATAGATCACGTCGAGATTCATTGGGTGGCAAGGTCGAAGAAGAGGTATGGACAAATAATCTAATTAAATTGGATCATTTATAGATTTTTAGTTGTCCTGCTTATGTGCATGTACATGAAGATGAAAGATCAAAACTTGATGCAAAATCCAAGAAGTGCATCTTTCTGGGCTATAAGAAAGGTGTGAAATGATACAAGTTTTGGGATCCAATTGCAAAGAAGATGGTGATCAGCAGAGATGCAATTTTTGATGAGCAGTTTATGTTATAGCAGAATCAAGACAAGGTGTCAGAGAAGAGTTCCAGTTCAGATGCAGTGTAGATGGATTTAGAACAGCAGCCAGTAGCTTCTGAGAGAGGTGAAAGTTCAAATCCAACACGTGGTGATTTTATTCCAAATGATCTGCAAAATTATAATCTAGCCAGAGATAGATAGAGACACACTAATGTCAGGCCTCATAGTAGATTGGGTTATGAAGACTTGGTCTCTTGTGCACTTCTCATAAGCAGCGATGATCCAACCACTTTTCAAGGAGCTATCACCAGACAGGAGAAAGAGAAATGGATGGGTGCAATGGTTGAGGAGATGGAGTTTTTGCAGAAAAATCACACATGAGAGCTAGTTCAGCTTCCAGAGGGAAAGAAGACTATCGGGTGTACAAAAGGAAACCAACAATATCAGAAAAAGAAGGGGAAAAGTTCAAGGCTCGACTGGTTGCAAATGGATTTTTACAGCAGAAGGGGATATATTATGATGAAATATTATTATGATGAAATAGACATACTTCAATCAGGGCAGTGTTTGCATTAGTAGTCATTTGGGATTTGCATTTGGAGTAGATGGATGTTAAAACTGCTTTCTTAGATGGATGTTATTGGAGTAGATGGATGTTAAAACTGCTTTCTTGCATGCTGATCTGAAGGAGTAAATTTACATGGAGCAGCCAGAAGGGTTCACTCAAACATGGACATGAGCATTTGGTTTGCAGGTTAAAGAAATCACTGTATGGGTTGAAACAGTCTCCAAGACAATGGTACAAGCGGTTTGACTCCTACATGATTCATATTGGCTATATGCGATGTGAGTATGATTGTTGTGTTTATGTGAAGAGCCTTGATGATGATTATATTATTTTTTTGTTACTGTCTGTTGATGATATACTGATTGCTGCAAAGAATATGAATGATGTCATTGATTTGAAAGCTTTATTAAGCTAAGAATTTGACATGAAAGACTTGGTTATTCGAAGAAGATTCTTGGAATGGATATTCATCGAGAGAGAGGCTCAAGACGATTATGTTTATCTCAACGAGACTATGTTGAGAAAGTGCTGAAAATATTTGAGATGAGCAAAACAAAGCCTGTAAGCACACCGTTGGCAAATCATTTTTAAGTTTTCTTCAGAACAATGTCCTAAGACAGATACAGAAATCGAAGACATGACAATGGTTCCATATGCCAGTGCAGTTGGCTGCTTGATGTATGCAATGATATGTACTTGTCCTGATTTGGCTCATGCTGTTAGTCAAGTCTGCAAATACATG